TATCAAAATCTTTCGATTTAAAGTACAAGGCGATAGTAATACTTTTATTGTGTAAAATAAGTGATATACATATCATTTAAATAGAGACCGGAATTTAAAATACAAAAAGAGATAATAATATTTTTATTTTGTAAAAATAAGATGGTACTGCTTAAATTTTAATTTTTAATTATATGTCACTTAAGAGATCAGTATTTAAAGTAAAAAGAGATAAAGTATAAAAAGAGAAAGCACTTAGGTTTTTTTTTAAATCTAAAATACAAAAAGAGATAGTAATACTTTTATTTTGTAAAAATAAGATGATACTACTTAAATTTTATTTTTTAATTATGTGTCAATTAAGAGATCAGTATTTAAAGTATAAAAAGAGATAGTAATAACGTTTTAATTTTAAAAAATAAAAGGTGGTCCCACTTAAGTTTAATTGTTTAATTTGTACAACAGTTTTTTGTTAAAAAAAGGAGGACATACGTATCAAATTTTGTTCGAGGAGCGCGCAATTTTATTTCACTTAAGAAACCAATATTTAAAATAGAAAAAGAGATAGTAATTAGGTTTTTCTTAACAGATAAGGGATGGTACCACTTAGGTTTCATTGTTAAATTTTGTACAACTGTTTTTTGTTCAAATTTTAAAATACAAAAAGAGATAGCAATTAGGTTTTTCTTAACAAATAAGGAATGGTACCACTTAGGTTTCATAGTTTAATTTTGTACAACTGTTTTTTGGTCGAAAAAGGAGATTTTACATATTAAATTTTGTTCGAGTTTAGGTATACAAGAGTCAGTAAAAAATTATCTAAGGGCAGGGAGAGACAAATAATAAGAAATACTAATAAGAAATACTAGCAAATAATGTTACTACTATTATTTATAAATAAATAAAAATTTACGTATGGCAGAGTATAGAAATTAATATAACGACAGTGTTGGAAACATCATACTGTCGTTGAGCAGCTTTTTTACGAGCAACGACAGTTTAAAGATTCCGACACTGTCGTTAAGAGTTATAGAATCGGGGTACAGGAAAAGCTGCATAAATGGTTGCGCGACCAACCAAAAACCTTCCTAGAGGAAATACAGAAGTCTGTGAATCGCTGGACCAAGTCCAGCAGCTTGATTCATACTTACGTATTGATTGATGTTCTTACAAAATCGGTATATAATCTCGATGATTCCGTAAGAAAATTAAACTGTGTTCCTGTGACTTCTAACATATCTTTTATTAAAGCTAGCATTTGTTCCATTTTTTGAATTACATTTTGATATGCCATGTCTGTAACATAAAAAAAAAATTGTAAAGATCTGCGACAAAGATTTCCATAAAATGCAATATTATGTGTTATTTAAATTAGAAAATGTCACAGTTTTGTTAAATTAAGTAAAATAAGATTTCATTAATTGGTGCGCGCGATCGTATTTAGCGGTGCTTTTTTGCTTCGCGCGTGAATGTGAGTGGAAACGAAGAATGGCACGGGACGCGGCATCAGGAAGCAACAAGGCGGCGAGCAGCGCGGTACGTCGCGCGGTGAGTAAATCCAATCGCCACATATATATATATATATTTACGGCATTCCACGTCGTAATTCCTGTTTATTTTTAATTATTTACGCATTGTTTGCGCGCGATTGTCGTCGAATGCGAAGTGTCGTTGCGTTAAAATAAGCGCTCGTCGGTACCGAGAGTGCGGCTCTGATTGGC